ACAATACTTGTTAAAGCAATAACAGCGCTTAACTAAACTTGGTAACACAATTAAACTTATATCTTTCTTATTCGCAACTCGCTTCTCTGCTCATATTACTTGTAGCTTGCTGTCTTGTAACTAACTCACCTCGCTGTGGCGGCGCCCTTATATACCTGCGCTGGCACTTATGGCAACTTTAGAACATTCTGAAGTTTATCGCTCATTCTCTTTCTCTCGCTGTTCGCAGTGTTCATCCAACTTGACGTTTCTCTTTGTGGAACATTCTACGTCATTCCTCGAACATTCTGCCTATTTCTCGTTGTTCGCTTTGTGTTGCCGCAGTATTCGCCACAATATNATTCGTCACATTATTTTCTTATTGTTCATTTATGAACATACGTAGGAACATATTTATATCCCGTTGAATGAATATACATATACAGTACATTTTGCTTAGCTGCCCATCCTTCTTTGCACGAAAAACTTGTGCGCTTAACCGAAAAAAAGCACTTAAGCGAATTTTCTTTACTACAATGAGGAAGGTATCCGAATCCCTATGCAACCAAATAATGGAGGAGCACTTACCACGTAGAAATTACTGCAAGAGAAATTTTTCCCGAATGGTATCTAATTATCTATATAACTACATAAAATAATTGCCGTTTTCGTTGTTCTGCGAGATGAGCAAAATAAATAATAGCTTTTAAAATTAGGGTAAGTGTAGAGCCAGTGCAGGTAAACGTAATACTTTCTTTGATAATTGATAATAGTTGCAAATTTTTAAGGCAGGTATCGCTAACGTGCAGGTATGTTGAATGCAAGTATCGGAGCAGTTTCCTTATAAATGTTAAAAATAATGCCGCTGATGCGCATTTTGGGGTAGGTATCTTAAATGTGCACTTAAGCACAAAGGCAGCAAAGCAAAATATACTGTATACTCATTTAATCGTATGTACATAAATGCCCTTCATTGCATTTTCGCATATGTACGCAACTACACAAATTCATGTCAATATATTGCAAATCTACTACAATTCCCTTCAAATTTGTGCAGATACGTTTGCGTACAAATTTAAAAACTTTTGATCTTTTGCGGAATTTTTCTACAATTTATGTACTTTTTAATATGTTCGCGTACAAATTTAAAAAAGTTTTTCCAAAAGATTGAGTTCCATTTTATGCATACATACATACGAGTGAGTGGCTCACTACGTGACTCACTTTTGACTCTGAGTAATTGACTCATTTTGATTTAATACATATGTGACTTCTTGGTATTAATAATTAATAACTATGTACATTTGGATATTTTGAAACTACATTTTGATAATTTTCTACATACATTTTGTACTTCTGCTAATATTTACAATCACATTTTTATATTACACCTTGATACTTTAAAAAAAAAAAACGTTTATATTAAAACAAAAAGTAACAAAACAATATAAGCTCTTTTGAATTGCGCGGAACGAAAAAGAAAGCAACAGCCCCACTCCTTTTGCATGTAAAATCCCACTGCATCAAAAAGCCCCTTTAATTTCATGCCAAATTTGCAGCCGATGACCTACTGAAGAAAAGCATAATTATTTTTCACAATTCGATTTTTTAATATTTTTATTTGAACAAGGTAAACGACGCTTGTTTTCGTAAATTTTGAACTTCCACTTCTTTGAGATTAGCCGGGTATGAGCGAATTCGATATACAATTTAAAGCATATAAATCAGATTTTGATAAGATTATTAAGCGCATTTTATAAAATAGACCGTTGTCTATGAGTGCGAAAAAATTAAACAAGTATAAATATGCGCTTATCACAGCTTGCAATAATATTTTACTACTAGTTATTGGCAAATTGGCCCATACCTGTAATCTCAAGGAAGAGCAGGGTAAGTTAGCCCGTTGCAATTAACAGTTAGCAAAGTGCTTTACTAAATTGAATTGCCGCGTTAGGATTCCATCTGATAGCTTATCGCTCATTTGCGAATCAGATTTAGCTGACTCTGAGTCAGAAGAAGAGTTTAGTGACGCCAAGTCAGAAGCTTCGGCACAATTAGGGAAAAATGCATCTTTACATGTCATAAACAACAATTATACGGAATTTGCTAAGCGTGTCGAGGAGCTTTCGGATGCATTTGAGCGTTCTTTGATCATTGAAGGGATGACACAATCTAAGGCCCATGAAATGGCAGTCGAGCAAACAGTTAACGTTTGTAGACTTAATACTCGGTCGGATTTGGTCAAATCAATTTTATCGTCAACTACCTTCAGTGATTCAAAAGACGTAGTGGCAAAAATGATAGTCGAACAAAATAATCAAGTGAAAGAGCGCCAAGTGTTAGCGTTTCGATCCCGAGTAAATAGGCCAAATAGTTTTAGAAGTAGCTTCAAAGGTCACAATTTTAATAGGTAAAACAGTAATAATTTCAGACATGACAATACTAATTTCAGTAGGTACACTAATAACGGTAATAACAGTAGGTACAACAATAACGGCGCAAGGCATAACGGCAATAATTTCAATAATAATAGCAATCGGTCATCGAATAACAGCAACCGGAACAATAACAGCAACATTAATAGTAATAGACGTCCAAATTCACGCAATAATAATAATGTGCGTACTTTAAACGCCCACGCCCCTCAGGAGCGAACACTGAGGGCGGAGGAATGGGACAATTAAATAAATATTTTTCGACAAAGGGAATTTATTGCTTTAATTTGAACTACTCTGACTTTATCGAATTGAAAATTAATGGATCAAACAAATTTTGTACGTTTTTAGTCGACACGCAAGCCGACATTTCTCTAATAAAAATTCGAGCATTGATAAACATTTTTCTATAAATAGGAAAGATATAATTAACATTACCGGTGTCACTTCCAAAACTGTTTCCACTTTAGGTACGATTACCGTAAACTTGAATTTTACTGATTTTTGCATTAAACATACTTTACATGTAGTAAACGATGACCTTAACATACCAGCTGACGGTATATTGGGTAATGATTTTACACGGAATCGTAAGCGACACTTGCATCATACCACCCAGATGCGAAGCTTATCGAATTTTCGATTTAGGCCACTGTTGTTGTTGTTGTTGTAGCGGCACTACTAAGCCCCGCCTGTTTC